GAGAATCCATAGTTTGGAGATTAGGAGGTGCAGGATTACCAAAACTACTATCCAGAGGACTGAGAAGGGGTTATTGAGATGGTTTGGACATGTAGAGAGGATGGATGGATGGATGGAACAAAATAGAATAACTTCGAGAGTGTATAAATCTGGAATGGAGGGAAGGCGCGGTAGGGGTTGGCCTAGGAAAGGTTGGAAGGAGGTGGTATTAGTGGGATTAGCACTAAAAAGTGCTAATCCCACATTGGTCATTCAGTGCTACAGATCTGTACAAGACAGTGCTAATTATAATTATCACTGTAAATTTATAGGGGTGTTAAACCTGTAGGGGTCATACAATGCCTGGGTCATACAATGCCTGGTAGGCTTAGGTTCCATCAAGGAACTTTCCTTCAGGGACACATGGTGCTAAATACCAGCTCACCTGAAACAAAAAAAAAAAAATGCCTTATTGAAGAAGCTGAGGCTGTCCAGCCTTGTTATTACCTTCAAATTTTACTTTGTGATATCAGTCCCCTTCAATAGGAGTGCCATGAAGGGAAGGGCTCTTCATCAAGGGAATTATAGCCACCCTTCATTAAATTCTGATAGTTACCTTCCATTGCCCAAGCACTGAATGACCCTTATAGGTGTAGTGCTTTCCTATAATTGTACATTAGTAATGTGCGATCAGGCCTTTTATTTGTGTCCAACTATTTATTGTATTGTACTTCCTTAGTTGCCATTTTGCTTACCATCACCCTGGTTTTCCATCTTGCCTGTGCTTATACACCTTGGTCATGGCACTTATTATCTCTAATGTGGGGAATGGGAGACAATGAAGTTCAATAAAAGGAAAAAAGAATAGGTTCCATTCCTTGGATCAAGAGCCCCTTACTGGCATCAAGGCACCTCTAAGCAACAAAACAAACCTTGCCTCTCCAAGCAGTCTTGCACATAGCATCATTCACAATCTCTGCTAAATTTTTAATTACAGCACTGACTTGTGTAGTGTGTTCATGTTATTGTACAGTAGATATAAATTGTCCATTATATTTTTGTAATTCTATCATTTCTTTTTTTGTGAAAGACTCGAGTATTATGATTTATGTTGAGACTAAGTAATATATCAGCAGATGACTTAAAAAAAAAAAACAGTTCTGAGCACAGGTGATAGTACTTTTACAGTACTTAAGAAAAAGTAACATTTAAAACCCCTGATGTTGGGTCACTGTAACACATTGGTAAGGTTTAAGTGCTCTGTGCCTAGGGGTAAGGGCTTCTTTTCTTGAGGAATGCCACTTTCTCCACAATGCTTGCCTGACTAGGAACCTAGCATAACTTTTGGCATAAATGGTAGATATATTTCCCTTGGCATTTAAAAATATTTGCTGACTTTCACTGACATAATGAATTAAGGATATGGATTACAGTTTACAAAAATAAACTTCAAATAGCTTTGTGATTATGATTTATGTAATATGATATATGAGAGAAAATTAAGTTACAACAGCAGCAGGTTGATAATGATATCATAAATTTGATGTTGGAAATGGAATATGATTAAAATCATTAAACTATTCAGTGCTTTGTGGTTTATAATAAACTGAAAACAAATATCTATCAGCCATCAATTTTAAAACAGCCCACATTATTGGAAATTTTGCTGACACTGTGTTTGTCACAATGCTGCCATTACATTAGAATTACCAGAAACCAAGTGCTAAACCCACGAGGGCCATATAGACTGCCATTACCATATTCAACACATTGCTGTGGTATATTAATTACTGTACAGTATATTCTTTCTACACAGTGGTATAGTACCATATATTATTTGGGAGGACACTCTCATACCATCATTCACATGATAACATTTACAAAATTCTCCCTTTAATTTATATGGAAAGGAACTAGAATTATGGCAGCTACATCATTCATATGTTATACACAATGCTCTTTGGTGAATATGCTGTATTTTAAACTTTTATTGTTGGTGTACTGTTGTATAACCCTTATGGATTAAGCCACATTATTGTGAATATGCTAGTCTAAAGGCTTTTGTGGACTCTTCTGGGGTGTGTGTGTGTGTGTGTGTGTGTGTGTGTGTGTGTGTGTGTGTGTGTGTGTGTGTGTGTGTGTGTGTGTGTATGCGCGCATGTGCGCTACCTGTATTTGTAATAAAATTGGTCATACATAATACTGTACTAGTGTTATAAAATTAACTGATTTGTAATATTATATGTATTATTATTATTGCAATCAAAACTAAGCACTAAACCCTCAAGAGTCGTACAGTATATGTAAATTAGGTGCTTTATAAATTTAGGTTCAAATTTCAGCCAAGCCATACAATACCTGAAATCTAATCATTAGTAATTGTTAAGACTGCAACAGTGGCAGTGGTTTAGTGTGACGTAATTGTTTTGGTCTTGAACTGTGGTGTATTCAGTCTCTTTACTGATCAAGCAGTGATGCCATTAACAGGTTGTGTTTTGTATCCTATGGAAAGTGTCTTGCGTGTCAACTCTCAACTGCACTAGCAACTGATCTAACCCAAATAATAAACAATAAAGCTTTATAAAGCTCTATTATTATTGTTTATCCTTGACTTGTAAAATGATTGATTTTTCCTACCAGTTTTAATGTTTTGAGTAAATGCAAAATTAAACATTAATATACATTCAATCTGCATTCCCTTTTCTTTCAAATTATTATTTAAAAACTAAGTTTGGAATCATTGGTGGCATATTGAGGTCTGGATACATTCACCTAACCAACCCTCAAAAATCTAGTCCTTCAAGAGAAGTGCCTTGATCTGGTTATGGGATCTTGGTTGAAGAAAATGGAACATCCTTGGATGAAATCTGAGTGCCTCTTGTTCCCTAGATGTGTGTGAGCCCTAATTATTATTTTTATTAAGGGGAATGCTAAACCCTGAGGGATTATACAGTGCCTGTGGGGAATGAGAGACGAAAGGCATTCAGGCTTAATTCAGGGAACTGGAGCACAGACCCAATTCCCTAGATTGACCCCCTCGCCATCATCAAGGAACCTCCCTTCAGGGGATCTGTGAACCCTAAGAATTTAGCACTCCTATAATTAATAATTTTTTCTTTTTCAACAAACCGGCCATATCCCACCAAGGCGGGGTGGCCCAAAAACAAAAACGAAAGTTTTTCTTTTTAAATTTAGTAATTTGTACAGAAGGGGTTGCTAGCCCCTTGCTCCCGGCATTTTAGTCGCCTCTTACAACATCCATGGCTTACGGAGGAAGAATTCTGTTCCACTTCCCCATGGAGATAGGAAATAAACAAGAACTAGAAAGAAAACAGAAGAAAACCCAGAGGGGTATGTGTATATATATATGCTTGTACATGTATGTGTAGTGTGACCTAAGTGTAAGAAGTAGCAAGACATACCTGAAATCTTGCATGTTTGAGACAAAAAAAAAGACACCAGCAATCCTACCATCATGTAAAACAAATACAGGCTTTCATTTTACGCTCACTTGGCAGGGCGGTAGTACCTCCCTGGGTGGTTGCTGTCTACCAACCCACTACCTAAAAAATATTAATAATATTGTAATAATTATGGAAATATTCCAAGAAAAAACATTACAATTCAAAATATATAATACCACTGCCCCTTGTAAAGTTATACTGCTGTATGTAGATATTTTATCTCTGACTGTTTCCCCACTAAGGCAGAGTAACCCAAAGATGGAAATATTCACCATCATTCATTCAATTATTGTCTTGTCTGAAGTGCTGACATCAGTTCTGATGTCCACTATCTCTCCTCTAGAGTGCCAACTCTGCACTTCTAACCTCTAGGACTCGGTTTCCCCTGAATTTCATAAAAGTTACCTTGCTAACATTCCAATAGCATGTCTATTGAAAAACCACTCGTCTAAATTCATTCCTACCCAACATGCTCATACAAGCCCCTAAATTTCAATGCTGCCTTTATCCTCTCCTTCCAACTGCTCCTGGGATGACCTCTACCCCTCCTATCTACCTTCCAAGAGTTATACACCCTTTTTGCCATCCTATCTTACCCTCTATCCTCTTTAAATGCTCAAACCACCTCAGGCCCTCTCCCCTGAATGATTCCACACCATCTTCTAATTTCTGCATTCCAACCTCTGCATAATATTCACAGCGTACATTGATCTTAAACATATCCCCATTGCCTCTAACTTCCTAGATGCAATGTTCAAAGCCCATTCAAACGTATTGGTATTGCTACCCTGTACCAGAGTACAGTATAGTGATACCAAAATAAGTTTTTCTTCTGACCTCCAGAAGATAAACTTTTCTTTCTACAGATCCCTCAACACACTACCTATCTTTTCTCCCTTCATTTATTCAGTGGTTTGTCTCATTTTTCATAGATCTTTCGTTGATATGTCCAGTCCCATATATTTGAACATGTTTATTTCCTCCATTCTACCTCCCTGCAATCTGATACTCAGTCTATCATTGCCTAGATTTTTTTTTTGTTCCCTCATCAACCTTGATATTTCCTATGCTCACTTTTAATCTTCTACATACTGTATGTTACCAAATTTCTCCACCAAATTTAGAAACTTCTCTTCAGAATTTTCCAAAAGAACCATGTCATTGACAAAGAGCAACTGACAACTCTGTTCAAATTCATTATTGATGTTATATAAAATTTAACTTTTAAGTGAAAAATCACAGATGCAGAAACATACAAAGCAAGTGAGTGGATACTTACATTCAATTTGCCTTACCATGCTCCATGCTAGAACCAGCAACCCCTCAAGGAAGGTTCCTTGATGTTGGTGAGGGGCTCTTGATTTAGGGAATTGGATCTGTGCTCCAGTTTCCCGAATTAAGCCTGAATGCCTTCCACATCCCCCCCCCCCAGGCGCTGTATAATCCTCCGGGTTTAGCACTTCCCCTTGATTATAATAATAATAGAACCAGCAAGTCTTTGTAACAAAGCAGCCAGTTCTCTCTCTCCCCCTCAGGATATTATATAATAGTCCTATAATCATGACAAATACATTTATTCACAAATACTACAATTAGTATATTCACTTTTGGGCATTCTTCCACACAATATTATGCAAAAAAAATAACAAAAAGCATTCAATAAATCCAAGGCAAATCTTCAGAAGCAGCCTTGCTCGCACCTATGTCACAGCCTAGTTGGGTTCGTCAAACCTGCGAGGCTTCGACCCGTTACACTTGCACTGTTTAGGTCATCCCACACAGTGCTTGACATTGGTCTCAAAGACACTGAAAATAAAAATGGAATAGGACAATAATAGGATACAACATACATCAGAAAAACATTACTTACAGTTAAAATGTTCTGACTGACTGCTGTTTCTGTTTTACATTCTCAGCATGAGGTGCTTTCTCCTACTCTATTTTCATAGTTTCTACCATCATTTTGACTTAAATCATGTAGAGGTGCTAAAAGATTATGTTATTTCTCAATTCCTATTCTTAATGGACCCACTAACCTATTTTCACTCATACAACTTATACCCCAGAATATTCACCTGATACAGCTTATCTCCTTTGATTATTATCATCATCATAACTAAGCACTAAACCCACAAGGGTCATACAGTGCTGCTTATCTCCTTTCAATATCGGAGATTTTATACTCGGTTACTTTTCTGTGTAATGGGCTCCACTCTATTAGCAAGAGCAAGCAAGGCTGAAGCGGCACCATACATAGATCAACAGAATACTTTTAATTATTCAAATTACCCAGTAAAATGCAAGCTCAACTTACAAAATCTAAGCTAATTTTTGTCTAATTATGTGCAGGTATCTCTAACCGGTCTGTATAGCCCTTGTGGCTTAGCGCTTCTTTTTGATTATAATAATAATAATCTCTAACCGGTAACCCATTTTCCTGTATAAATTACTAAATGTAATTAAGGAACACTTTCGTTTCTTCTCTTTTTGAATCGCCTGCCTTGATGGGAAACAGCCAATGTATTAACCCTTTCAGGGTCCACAGGCCCTCTCAGAGACTTGTTCTCAGGGTCGCCCAAATTTCAAAAAAAAAAAAATTATTTTTTCTTGTGAAAAGATAATCTTTTCCCGATCATAATGACACCAAAAGTATGAAATTTGATGGAAAACTTACGGAATTATGCTCTCGCGAAGTTAGCGGTCTCGACAATGTTTACGCATCGGCGATTTTGCCCACTTTGAGCCCTATTTTCAGCCAATTCTGGCGTACTAGTCAACAAAAATCATAACTATTTCGCTAGAACTCCATTTTTTCTATAGAATGAGTACAAGAAACCACCAATTTACCGATTTCAACTATCCAATACAATGGTCAGAATTTAGCAATTTTGCCAATTTCACACAAATTTCAAAAGATGCCAATTTCCAAATAGGGTCCAAAATAAACAAGAGAGACATTCCTGGCACTAAAATAAAATTTCCTCTGTTCATTAGTCACGTCCCCAGGCCCCTCTTACTTTTTTTTGCTTTCCACTTTGAATTTTTATTCTCACAAAAAAATAAGATTTACTGTTATGCAGACTACTGCATTAGTGTAGAAATGGTATAAATAATATCAGCGCACTTATGAAAGAATATTAGACTCGCCAGTTGACGTGTATTGGACGCTTAGCATGATTTGTTTACTTTTGAACTTTGGTAAAAATCGAACATTTCTGCTACTTTGAGCTCAGTTCCAAGGTACTTTTCATTGTAAAACCAGTCAAAATCATCTCAATTTCTGTAATATGTCTTCCATTCTATACAATGAGACCAGGAAAACTAGAATACAACAATAAATACCATACAAAAATAAAGTGCAAAGTGTCTGCTTTAATCTAAAAACACAGTCAAAGTTTTTTTTTCCTCATTACGCACAGTGTGCTGCAGGATTTTTTTTTTATACTGCACACACTGACCACATAGACCCATTCTTTCATATGTAGGCCTACCAGCTTTCTCTCACTTGATTTGAAGGTGCTAGAATTTATGCGTACTAGTACGTCATGGACACTGGTGCGTAAGCCGTACTAGTACGTCCAAAACCCTGAAAGGGTTAAAGACAAAAAAATCTAACCTGGCAGTTGTTGGTAGCTGGAATGTGTGGATGTTGTCACAGATCACAGGTCATGGTCTGTGACATGTGCAGAGGTGTCAGCATGAGCTCAAAAGCAGCATCCTTTAAATTTGCTCCTCTTAAGTTTGCCTCTTGCAGATCACTCCCAGATAAGTCACAGTTCTGGTAAAAAAAAAGAAATGAAATATGAACATGAAAGAAAGAGACTCCATAGGAAACTTACGTGAAGAAAAGAGCTGACAAAAGTGTGAGAGTTCAAAGACAATATGAATGACTGAATATGTTTGTTATCAAAGCTATGTTTATAGAGTAGTGAGCTGTATAGCCCTTGTGGCTTAGCGCTTCTTTTTGATTATAATAATAATAATAATAGAGTAGTGAGCTGTGTCCTGACTAATGATGACCACTACTTGTGAGTTAAGGATTTACACAAGTGATATGCCAGGCAACAGTGCTAGATCTACTCAGAAGTCAAATATACTATGACACCAAAAGAACATTAAATTTTCTCCAAAGTCTGTTGAGAGATGAACCCACCTCAAGGTCTGCACCAGCAAGTACAGCTGCACGCAGGTCACAGTTCTTGAGGTTTGCATTCTTGAGTGTGGCAACTCGCAAATTAACACCTGCTAGCATGCTGCCCTCCAGCACAGCACCACGCAAGTTGACACCTTCAAAATCAATCATATACATTATATTTTTTATTAACTTATAAACTATGAAATCCTTTACTTAATTTTAATATTACCAATACCTATTTTATAAATAATGAAAATAAACATAATATATTCTAGATCTGAATGTCAAGTCATGAAGATGATGTACTTACATATATTAGTATTTATATTAGTAATACAGCCTTTCTTTTTTAAAAGATTGAGGCACAGGTTAAGTGCAAGTGAATAGAAATGGTTTTCAATAAAAGTAGACCTAAGACATTGATGAATGTTGCTACAACTGTAGTTTAAACAGTTACATTATTATTATTATTATAATCAAGGGGGAAGCGCTAAACCCGGAGGATTATACAGCGCCTGGGGGGGGGATGTGGAAGGCATTCAGGCTTAATTCGGGGAACTGGAGCACAGATCCAATTCCCTCAATCAAGAGCCCCTCACCAACATCAAGGAACCTTCCTTGAGGGGTTAAACAGTTACAGATTTTAAGAGAAGTGAATGTTATGAGGGTCTGGGAAAGGTGTGTTCTAAAAGATAACTATGGTAATCTGATACAAAAACAAGAGTTGCTATAACTGCTGTCTGGAAATAACAGTATTACCTGTAGATTTGGAAGAAGAGTTTGAAAGGTATCTGGAAGAACATGGAAAAAAAAAAGTTGGAAGTTGATACAAAATAAACTGAGTGAAAGAAATTTATAAGGAATGAGAGCCTTGAGGTCTGACTTGAAGAAATGAGTTGGAGTGTGAGCAAGGTAATATTCTGTGAAGGGAACCAAGAAAACCAGTTAGCCAGACTTGAGTCCTGAAGATGGGAGTATTGTGCCTGCATTCTAAAGGAGGGGTTTAGGATATTTGCTGTTTGAAGTAACATCTTAACTGTCATATTTTTGTGCCTCTGGCAAGACAGTGACAGTGTTAATGATGATGAAAGTGATTCTTTTTTGGGTCACCCTGCCTCAGTGGTAGACAGCCAGCACTTAAAAAAAATTATAAATAGAGACCATCAACATTTAGGGTTGTTAAAGATGAGGTAAATCACAAAATAAACAGAAAAGAAAATAGAAACAAAAGTCTGCTAATGAATGACAAAAAAAAATCTACAAAAAGTGGTTGACTATACTAACAGATTTAGAAAAAAAACAGAACAAGCCATGAAAATCCAAAATAAACTATACAGAATTATAATAAAGAGTGCCATCAATGCTTGCCTTCACAATTGGAACGTGTTCCTGCTGGGTCTTCAAAGTTACATGCACGCAAATTTGCAGACTCAAGGTTTGCACAGAGAAGCTTCACATTAAGTAGCTGTGCTCCTTCCAAGTTGGCTCCACAGAGGTTGGCACGCTCCAGACAGCACCCATTCATGTTGGCGCCCGCCAAGTTGCACCGTGACAGATCTGCGAACTGAGTACAAGATGATGGGCCAAATACTGCATTTCCTAGAAGAATATGTAACCAACTAATTGAGGTATTTCCTCCTGTTGTCACAACAGAGCTCAGCTTCACTCCAGGAACACTCAAGGAACACACAACACACACCACTGTAAGCAGTGAATATAACAGTAGTTCCCTACCAAGAATGATCAAAAAGAGAAAACATATTCATCATAGCTTATTTAACCCTTTCAGGGTCCAGAGGCCAAATTTCAAAAGGTGCACCAGTGTCCAAGAATTTTCAAAAAATAATTTTGTTATTTTTCGAATGAAATGGCAGAGAATCTTTTTCTGAAGGTAATAAAGCAAAAAGTACGAAATTTGATGGAAAATTGACGAAATTATGCTCTCGCGAATTTTGATGTGGCAGCGATATTTACGCATCGGCAATTTTGCGGACTTTGACTCCCATTTTAGGCCAATTACATTATTCCAGTCGACCAAATTCTTAGCTATTTCACTAGTATTACTTCTATTCTATCGACTGAGCACAAGAATTCGCCAACTCAACTGTTCCAACTACAAAATAAAGTGATCAGAAATTGGTAATTTGGTCAATTTAATGCAAAGTTCAAAATACTCCAATTTCAAAATAGGGTCCAGAATAAACAATGCAGACATTCCTGGCACTAAACTAACATTTCCTCTGTTCATTAGTTATGTTTTCAGGCTTTACTAATGAATTCCATTTTGATTTTTCATTCACATAATGAATTTTTATTCAAACCAAAAAATAGAAGATTTACTGTTATGCAATATTGTAATAATTGTATGAATAATATCAGCACATTTGTGAACGTATATTAGATGCACCAGCAGGCGTGTATTAGACATGTGAGGTCATTTGTTTACTCTTGAACATCAGCAAACATTTAACATTTCTGCTACTTTGAGCTCAGTTTCAAGCCATTTCCAGTATTAACCATTTCAGAGTCGAGAGGCCCTCTTCTAAACTCGTTCTCAGGGTCGAAAATTTTTTGGAAAAAAAAAAAAAAGATTTTTTCTTATGAAATGAGAGAGAATCTTTTCCCGATCATAATGACACCAAAAGTATGAAATTTGATGGAAAACTTACGGAATTATGCTCTCACGAAGTTAGCGGTCTCAACGATGTTTAAGCATCGGCAATTCTGCCCACTTTGAGCCCTATTTTCGGCCAATTCCTGTGTACTAGTCAACAAAAATCATATTTATTTCGCTAGAACTCCATTTTGTCTATCGAATGAGTACAAGAAACCACCCATTTACCAATTTCAACTATCCAATAAAGTGGTTAGAAATTGGCAATTTTGCCAATTTCACACAAATTTCAGATGCCAATTTCCAAATAGGGTCCAGAATAAACAAGAAAGACATTCCTGGCACTAAAATAGCAAGTTTTCTGTTCATTAGTCACATCCCCAGGCCCCTCTTACATTTCTTTTGTTTTCCACTTTGAATTTTTATTCTCACAAAAAGTAGAAGATTTACTGTTATGCAGACTACTGCATTAGTGTAGAAATGGTATAAATAATATCAGCACACTTGTGAAAGAATATTAGACTCACCAGTTGATGTGTATTGGACACGTGGCATGACTTGTTTACTTTTGAACTTTGGTAAAAATCGAACATTTCTGCTAATTTGAGCTCATTTCAAGGTCCTTTTCATTGTGAAACCATCTCAATTTCTGTAAAATGTGTTCCATTCTATAAAATGAGACCAAGAAATCGCAAATACAACTATAAAAAACATACGAAAAAACACTGCAAAGTCGCTGTTTTAATCGAAAATTATGGTCTCAGTTTTTTCTCTCATTATGCATTATGTGCTGCAGGATTTGTTTTATATGGTGCACACATACCACATAGATGTATTCTCTCATATCAAGGCCAAAATTTACTGCTCACAGCTTATCAGAGCGAGCTGAGCTCATGACGTAGATCTACGATTTGGACCCTCAATGTAAAGCCGTAGATCTACGGCACGGACCCTCAAGGGGTTAACAACTCTCTTGCCTGAAGTGCATGAACATCATAACTCAAATGACTCTCTGAAATAACTTTCGTATTGCTCAGCCTGGTCGACCAGGCTAGCACCAGACAAGCCTAGTGATAGCCCAGGAGTAGAAGCTCTATAACTCATCAAAGGTATGAATAATAGAGTTTCTCCAAGTTATACCTTAAAGTTAATGTTTCGAAGGTCTAGCTTGGAAAGGTCAGCTCCACGTAGATTGATTCCTTGAAATCTAAGCTCGTCTTTGTGGTGTGTTGTAATGAGTGCATCTACAACTTGCTGTCTAGTGAGAGGCTCCAGTTCTTGTGTCTCTTCCCGAGAAGTAATGAGAGCTTCCAGCACAGGCACAGCAGACTCTATGCCAAAGAAACGGGCTTCCTCTAGCACTCCTATAATGAAGGATGGATGCTGATAATGATCATGTTAATGAGTACAGTACCATATCTGGGAAACTACATCAATTAATGTTTAAGTCAAAATTCTATTAACCCTTAAACTGTCCAAACAGATCTACGTTCACATGTGTAGTGCTCCAAAAGTAGATCTATGTTTTTTACAAATGTAAAAAATGTAAAAAATGTAAAAAATGTAAAAAAAAATGTAAAAAAAAATGTAAAAAAAAATGTAAAAAAAAAAAAGAAGGTCTACGTTTTTTTACATACTTTCAAATGTTGAAAAAACGAAGATCTACGTTTGGACAGTTTAAGGGTTAAAAGGTTATGTACTTTATTTTACAATCTTTAATTAATACTTCATATACGTAAAATAAATTTAAATACAGAAAAATATCTTGGCTTAAAATTTAAATAACCTGAGTGACTTTCTGCTATCATGATTGCATAACTGAACCTCAACTTCCAGTTGTTTTAACTATGTTGATGTTTATCATGAGTAGTTATATAAATTAATAACGTGTATATCCCTTTGCCAGGTATGTTACATAAACTAGATAGTCCTGCTCCTTCGATAACATGAGAAATGTTAACAAAAAAAATTGTGCACTATTTAATCTTTACTACAAGAAAAGAGGAATTATTTCACTGAGGTGAGATAATTCCTCTTTTCATGCCATATTGGAAGGCATGAAACCACAATTTAATGATAATTAAACAATTATTAGTACAATATGAAAGCTTTGTGTGGGTGCCCCTTCATTGCACTCATAGTGGATAGTATCCAGCAGAACAATTAGTAATGATTAATCAATTTTTTCCTAACACTGTCCATTTCCCACTAATGTAGGATGACTCAAAGTAAACACATGCTCTAGCTTCCTCTCAAGAAGCACAGGGATATCCCATTCAAATGACATTCCTAACTATGACATCCCCACCCAGCATTCCTCAATGTGAGGTAAGACACATATGCAACAGTTAGGTATCTTTATTTCGAAACGTTTCGCCTACCTAAAGATACCTAACTGTTGCATATGTGTCTTACCTAACAACCTGTCGGTATTTTATACCATTTTAATGTTCATTCCTCAATGTACTTCCCACATCTAGAACCCAAGTCCAACTCTTCTGAATCCTTCTTATGTCACTGTGCTCACACTCCCAACAGCAAGTCAAATCCTAAAGACCATCTGTCTCCACTTTGATCTAACATGCTCACATATGCCTGCTGGATGCTCAAACTCCTTGCCCTCCTTTATACTCTTGTAACTCTTCCTGGAAAGCAAAGTACACTAGCTTCCATCCATTCAAGAGTTATATACAAAACCCACACATATGAGAATGAACTTAAGATGATGTTTTGATTCTACATGGACTGTTGACTGGTCACACAGAGAAAAGCATTTCTGTGTGTGACCGGTCAATGGTCCAAGTCAGACCACAATGTCATCATAAATTTCAGTCTCCTACATTTGGGGGTATTTGTGCATTGTTTCAGTCATGGTATTGTGCCTTTTTCATCAAAGATTTACCAGTATACACCCTCTTGGGTGTATAAGATTCTATACAGTAATAAAATAATAAAGTAACCTTAATAAATGTTTTACAAATGACTCAGGATCATACATATGTAAAGCAAGAACAGTGACAAACATCTCAAAGGAACTCACCTTCAGGATTAATACAGGGATCAAGAATTAAGGTACCATTTCTCAGGAAGTTCAGAAGAGGCTCAAAGTACGTATAAGAACGATCTATGAGGTACGCACCATGGGCATCTCGATTGCTAGGCAGCAGACTACTGTCCTCACAACTAAACATTCTGAAAAGTACACACACTTGCTTGTTGATCTTTTTTAAAGACTAATGTAAGTACCGTATTTTCTGGCATTTAAGGCGCACGACATAAGCGTCATAACGGTACATCAGCAATCATATTCAAGGGCTAATTACCCTCTTACCTAGCACTAAGGCATAACTCAAAGCCTACCCTTGGCCCTGACCTTGAGCATATAAGGCACTGGATGATTTTCCAAAACGTTTTGTGGGATAAAATGCACAACTTATATGCCAAAAAATACGGTGCAAATTAATACAGGATGGCCCCACTTTACAGCACTTTGCTTTATGGAAAGTCACTAATACAGACATTTTAAATAACCCAAAATTCGTTTATGTGGCTCCCTGATTCGCTATTACAGCATCTGCATGCCACTCTGTTCATTTACATCCTCCATGAGCTCCACGTCTCTTGATTGTCTCAAAACTTTCCAAAATTTCAAGTGTTTTAAAGTTGTTGCATATTTTATATATACAGTACATGTATGCTATTGTACTTATGTGTACCAGTACCTAAATAAACATACACACTGGCATGCAGGCACACATTAAAATAGCTAAGAGTGTCACACTAGTGTTGAAGATGAAATAATAATAATAATAATAATAATAATAATAATAATAATAATAATAATAATAATTCTAGGTAGTAGGTTGGTAGACAGCAACCGCCCAGGAAGGTACTACCGTCCTGCCAAGTGAGTGTAAAACGAAAGCCTGTAACTGTTTTACATGATGGTAGGATTGCTGGTGTTCATTTTTCTGTCTCATAAACATGCAAGGTTTCAGGTACGTCTTGCTACTTCTACTTACACTTAGGTCACACTACACATACATGTACAAGCATATATATATATATATACACCCCTCTGGGTTTTCTTCTATTTTCTTACTAGTTCTTGTTCTTGTTTATTTCCTCTTATCTCCATGGGGAAGTGGAACAGAATTCTTCCTCCGTAAGCCATGCGTGTTGTAAGAGGCGACTAAAATGCCAGGAGCAAGGGGCTAGTAACCCCTTCTCCTGTATAAATTACTAAATTTAAAAAGAGAAACTTTCATTTTTCTTTTTGGGCCACCCTGCCTTGGTGGGATACGGCCGGTTTGTTGAAAGAATAATAATAATAATAATAATTGCTCTGGAGTGCTTTAAATGTCATACATTATGTTATTATAGGCATTTGTTATTAACACACCTATGATATTTTTTCAAATATATATAAGAAACAAGCTACATATCATATGAACCTAATACATTACAACCATAGAAGAATAAATAGAGAAATATGCGATGTCGTTGCCAGGCTGCTTGTAGAAGTGATGGCAACAATTAAGTTTTCTCTTGTCCAACACCAGAGAAGCTGTGTACAGTATAGTATAACTGGGGTAAATGTGGAAAAATATTCCTTTAGTATGCCTTCACTCATAGCATCATTTGCTCTAAAAATAGTGTGTTGCATGAGAATGGGAGTGCTGTTATTTATTCTGCTTCACCAATGTGAAGACAACTTGTATACAAAGTAAGGTGTTTGTATTGTGGAGGATGAAAAGCTTCACAAATACATGCACAATGCAAAATGAGCGTGTATGAAAAGTGAATAGGTATTAATACGTGTCTGTCTGACCACCCACTACCTGTTCACTCTAATAATAATAATAATAATACTTGCTCTGTGGCACTTTAAATATTGCATATTACATTACTATAAACATTATCATTAATCCATTTATGACTTTTTTTAAAAATTATATAAGAAATACACTATATATCATATAAACAAAATATATACAATCACAGTAAAACAAATAAACATAGTTGTGATGTGTGGTAGCCGGGAGGTCTACCAAACCGAACTTCCTTCAATAAATACTACTCACCTCTCACCCTACATTAAGACTACAAATATTTTAAGGCAAGTAATGAATGTACTGTATGCACCTTTTACCCTTTTATTGTTTTTCATGCCTAGTTCTATTGCTAACTTAATATAAAAGTGAAAAAAGGTTGATTCGCTGTACGGCAGTAGTCCGAGACCTAACCCACCGTATAAGCGGGGCCCTCCTGTTATCTAATAAAATGTAACACAGTATATCATGATTTTTCATATTCATAAAAATACCAACATGAATAACCAACATTTTATTATTACAAAAGTAATAATTAAACTGTCAAAAACCACAAATAAACATAGAAAATTTTACTTTGCCAGCATGGAGTTTGGTTCTTTGGTGACTAGTGTGGCACGTGTGGTGGTGAAGATCTGGCCGCCTACATTAAGTGTGACCCAGTCATTTGTGGGTGAAGCTCCACCTTGAGAAATGCAACGCTCTATGAGTTTGCAAGGGTAACACGAGAAAATCCTGAATGTTGTAAATATATTATATTTTAAATAAAATAACCTATGAACCTTATGATCTATTTTGTAACAATCCTTTCAACATCTTTAATTTTACTGAAGTTCTTAAAAGTGCGGACACTAAACTAACCACATCCAAACATGGGTACAGCATAACATAGCATATTGCATTTTAAACAATTGTTTTAGCATCTGCTTATCCATATAATTATGTACTTAAAAGCTATCTTAACCCTCTTTCTCTTATAATTATTAGCTTAAAGTACATTTTAACACCTACATGCAGTTAGTTAGTTAGTTTAATATGTTTATTATGCACCCCATACCCATCCTGTGGGCGGTACCAGTGATAAATACTGCATCAATTTTTTTTAACCATGTTTTTCCTGTCACTGTTTTTGCTACTTGCCATTTGTTAATAAATTTACCTTCTTTGAGGAAAAGCCTAACTTTTATCCCAAAGTGGGAAGCAAAATAAGCAAACTATAAGACCAAGTGTAAATATTAGAGTATTTATACAGAGACCAATACTAACTGCAGGCAGAAGGTGGGGTGCCTATACAGAGTGGGGTCATCCTGGCACCAACGTGACCAGGTGGCCTAACACCTGGACTCGGCTGAACCGGCAGCTGGAAGTCTTCACCCTCTGACACATACAAGATATCATCATCTCTGTTAAAACAAAGCAACAGTGTTACACAAAAATAGCCTTACATTAAAATTATGCTGCTAGTATCAAGATTCATCTACTGTATTTTAGAATCAAACTGCTAGTATCAACAGTGGCAGCTCATCCATAGGAGCTGCAGAGCTACAGTCCCCCCAGATGCTCACTGCCAAACGTATGACTTCATCAACCTTACACTAAAATAATTTGCAACTGACAAATATATTACAAGAAAAATCTGTTGTATGTTGTTTTCAATGTACATATAAGGAAACTTTTTATTTTTTTGTTGAAATGAGACAAAAAATGATTAAAAATAGAAGTTTGATGCCGTACAACAGTATAGGTACTGGTGCTACAAGCCACCTCTGAGTATCAAGATTCATCATCTGTATTTTAGAATCAAGCTGCTAGTATCAAGTGTCATCCACTGTATTTTAGAATCAAGCTGCTAGTATCAAAATTCATCCACTGTATTTTAGAATCAAGCTGCTAGTATCAAGTGTCATCCACTGTATTTTAGAATCAAGCTGCTAGTATCAAGTGTCATCCACTGTATTTTAGAATCAAGCTGCTAGTATCAAGTGTCATCCACTGTATTTTAGAATCAAGCTGCTAGTATCAAGATTCATCTACTATATTTTAGAATCAAGCTGCTAGTATCAAGATTCATCATCTGTATTTTAGAATCAAGCTGCTAGTATCAAGTGTCATCCACTGTATTTTAGAATCAAGCTGCTAGTATCAAAATTCATCCACTGTATTTTAGAATCAAGCTGCTAGTATCAAGTGTCATCCACTGTATTTTAGAATCAAGCTGCTAGTATCAAGTGTCATCCACTGTATTTTAGAATCAAGCTGCTAGTATCAAGTGTCATCCACTGTATTTTAGAATCAAGCTGCTAGTATCAAGATTCATCTACTATATTTTAGAATCAAGCTGCTAGTATCAAGATTCATCTACTATATTTTAGAATCAAGCTGCTAGTATCAAGTGTCATCCACTGTATTTTAGAATCAAGCTGCTAGTATCAAGTGTCATCCACTGTATTTTAGAATCAAGCTGCTAGTATCAAGATTCATCTACTATATTTTAGAATCAAGCTGCTAGTATCAAGTGTCATCCACTGTATTTTAGAATCAAGCTGCTAGTATCAAGTGTCATCCACTGTATTTTAGAATCAAGCTGCTAGTATCAAGTGTCATCCACTGTATTTTAGAATCAAGCTGCTAGTATCAAGATTCATCTACTATATTTTAGAATCAAGCAGCTAGTATCAAGATTCATCTACTATATTTTAGAATCAAGCTGCTAGTATCAAGTGTCATCCACTGTATTTTAGAATCAAGCTGCTAGTATCAAGTGTCATCCACTGTATTTTAGAATCAAGCTGCTAGTATCAAGTGTCATCCACTGTATTTTAGAATCAAGCTGCTAGTATCAAGTGTCATCCACTGTATTTTAGAATCAAGCTGCTAGTATCAAGATTCATCTACTATATTTTAGAATCAAGCTGCTAGTATCAAGATTCATCATCTGTATTTTAGAATCAAGCTGCTAGTATCAAGTGTCATCCACTGTATTTTAGAATCCAGCTGCTAGTATCAAAATTCATCCACTATATTTTAGAATCAAGCTGCTAGTATCAAGATTCATCATCTGTATTTTAGAATCAAGCTGCTAGTATCAAGTGTCATCCACTGTATTTTAGAATCAAGCTGCTAGTATCAAAATTCATCCACTGTATTTTAGAATCAAGCTGCTAGTATCAAGTGTCATCCACTGTATTTTAGAATCAAGCTGCTAGTATCAAGTGTCATCCACTGTATTTTAGAATCAAGCTGCTAGTATCAAGATTCATCTACTATATTTTAGAATCAAGCTGCTAGTATCAAGATTCATCATCTGTATTTTAGAATCAAGCTGCTAGTATCAAGTGTCATCCACTGTATTTTAGAATCAAGCTGCTAGTATCAAAATTCATCCACTGTATTTTAGAATCAAGCTGCTAGTATCAAGTGTCATCCACTGTATTTTTAGAATCAAGCTGCTAGTATCAAGTGTCATCCACTGTATTTTAGAATCAAGCTGCTAGTATCAAGTGTCATCCACTGTATTTTAGAATCAAGATGCTAGTATCAAGATTCATCTACTATATTTTAGAATCAAGCTGCTAGTATCAAGATTCATCCACTGTATTTTAGAATCAAGATGCTAGTATCAAGTGTCATCCACTGTATTTTAGAATCAAGCTGCTAGTATCAAGTGTCATCCACTGTATTTTAGAATCAAGCTGCTAGTATCAAGTGTCATCCACTGTATTTTAGAATCAAGCTGCTAGTATCAAGTGTCATCCACTGTATTTTAGAATCAAGCTGCTAGTATCAAGTGTCATCCACTGTATTTTAGAATCAAGATGCTAGTATCAAGATTCATCCACTGTATTTTAGAATCAAGCTGCTAGTATCAAGTGTCATCCACTGTATTTTAGAATCAAGCTCCTAGTATCAAGATTCATCTACTATATTTTAGAATCAAGCTGCTAGTATCAAGTGTCATCCACTGTATTTTAGAATCAAGCTGCTAGTATCAAGTGTCATCCACTGTATTTTAGAATCAAGCTGCTAGTATCAAGTGTCATCCACTGTATTTTAGAATCAAGCTGCTAGTATCAAGATTCATCTACTATATTTTAGAATCAAGCTGCTAGTATCAAGATTCATCTACTATATTTTAGAATCAAGCTGCTAGTATCAAGTGTCATCCACTGTATTTTAGAATCAAGCTGCTAGTATCAAGTGTCATCCACTGTATTTTAGAATCAAGCTGCTAGTATCAAGATTCATCTACTATATTTTAGAATCAAGCTGCTAGTATCAAGATTCATCTACTATATTTTAGAATCAAGCTGCTAGTATCAAGATTCATCTACTATATTTTAGAATCAAGCTGCTAGTATCAAGATTCATCTACTATATTTTAGAATCAAGCTGCTAGTATCAAGTGTCATCCACTGTATTTTAGAATCAAGATGCTAGTATCAAGCTTCTATTATTATTATTATTATTATTATCACACTGGCCGATTCCCACCAAGGCAGGGTGGCCCGAAAAAGAAAAACTTTCACCATCATTCACTCCATCACTGTCTTGCCAGAAGGATGCTTTACACTACAGTTTTTAAACTGCAACATTAACACCCCTCCTTCAGAGTGCAGGCACTGTACTTCCCATCTCCAGGACTCAAGTCCGGCCTGCCGGTTTCCCTGAATCCCTTCATAAATGTTACTTTGCTCACACTCCAACAGCACGTCAAGTATTAAAAACCATTTGTCTCCATTCACTCCTATCAAACACGCTCACGCATGCCTGCTGGAAGTCCAAGCCCCTCGCACACAAAACCTCCTTTACCCCCTCCCTCCAACCTTTCCTAGGCCGACCCCTACCCCGCCTTCCTTCCACTACAGACTGATACACTCTTGAAGTCGTTCTGTTTCGCTCCATTCTCTCTACATGTCCGAACCACCTCAACAACCCTTCCTCAGCCCTCTGGACAACAGTTATACAACAGTATATTAGAACCAAGTTGCCACTATCAAGATTTTCATTCACCATACATAAGAATCAAACAGATAGTATCAAGTTTCATCTAACACACATTAACCCTTTCATTGTAGGGACCCTTGATTCTTAAAAATCAAGTTCTTAGTATAAATCTATGTCTACCATACACTACTCACATATAAAGATGGGTAATCTCTTACCTAATGAGTCTGATATCATCAATAAGACCTCCCTGAGGGGTGTAGAGATGTGCAGCTCTGATGGCCAACTTCTGTGAGGCTGCTGCAAGCAAGTCATCTAAGGAGTGTGTCACCAGCACCACCTGCAGGAGACCAACAGATTAACACCTCCACCTACAGGAGACTAATTGATAAATGCTTCCACCTACAGGAGACTAATTGATAAATGCTTCCACCTACAGGAGACCAAAAGTTTAACAGTTTCAGTAAACTTCAACTGCTCTCTAGCCAAGGAAGCATTGCAATTACATATTTGTTAAACATGACTGAAGTTAAACCACTCAGTACAATGTAATTGATGGTGACCCCTGACAACTTCAACAACAAAAACAGTAATCAAAATACTGCAGGATCCGAGCGATCAGCCAAAGGCTGACTGCTCAGATTGAAGAATGGGTGCTCGCAAGATCCACCAATCTCGTAAATTAGGTATACTATAGAACAAATTAACAACCAGGAATATCAACTTTGATTTCATATATAAAGCATGCTTAATACACAGTGATGTGTACTCATGAGCAACAAGGTAAGTGTTTACCCTATAAAATAATTATTGTTTTTAAAATTAAAATACTGTATCTTAATTAATTTTTGAAATGTATCTAATATTTTGCTTATTTGTTATTTATGTTTCTGTGAATCTAATCTTGGTTTAAAAGGAGTTTAAACTTTTGAAACTTGTTAAACAGGATTTGATACTTTAAAAATCTGTCCTTGTAAGTTTATTTAGGTACAGGTACACATAAGTACAATGGTCACACATAGTGTAAATTACTTAGGATAACCCAAAAAAGTCAAAGTGACTTATTTCCATGCAAAATTTAATTTTCAGTATCATCATCCACTGTTTTGGTGGGTAAAATGATAATGCATCACTGCTAGAAGTAAGAGAAACATTATTAACTTAAACTGGCTATATTAAAATACCTAAGTGATTTATAATTGCTTTCTCCAAGCTTTTCATCAACCTCAAGATCATTTATCAGAGATTCCTTGTTTGTAACAGCCAAGTCCAGCCATTTATTTTCCCTAGTTTGTTCTGACACAACTTGTTTAAAAAAAAAAAAGTACAGGTCTATTTCAAGAAAGTCACTAGACTCTTAAACACCCTGTCAAATTACTCCAATCAGTTTGGCTAAATATTATAGTGTATATCAATGGTACACAAAACTGAGAAATAGTCAAATAAGGGTAATCTGAGGTGCTCATTTCCTCAACTCGGCTAAATCTCAAGAAGAAGCATGAGGGTGGAGATACTATATACTGGAGACAGGTAAAGTGAAGAGATTTGAGGCAGCATCACAGGTGGGAGGAGACCATTAGTGTATGTTAGTAAGTAAGTAAGTAAGTAAGTAAATTTATTCAGGTATACACAAATACAGTTACATAGAATTATCATACATAGCAGCATATGTGTAGAGAACCTAGGATAACCCAAAAAAGTCAGACGGAGTGACTTATTTCCATTGTTAATTTATTTAGGTACAGGTACACATAAGTACAATTATCATACATAGTGTAAATTACCTAGGATAACCCCAAAAAAGTGGCTTATTTCCATTGAGGTCCTTGAAAATAGGTCATGCCAATAGGCAGAGTTGAAGAAGGAACTCTGTACCAAGACACAAGATGCTACTGTCACACACATACATGTATTATATAGTAATGGTATACAGTATTTGTCTAAATTTAAAATTTACATTTTTGTTATGAGATGCCTCAGAAGTTCTGTTCCACAAAGGTTGACTATGCACTACCTAGGTAGACAGTCTGTAGATCACATCTAAGATTAGCAATTCGTGTTCTTCCAGACACTGCAGCTAAACAGTTACCATGTCTGTCCCATCCACTTTCATAGTTGTTTCGATGCAAAAGTTTGAATTTCCTTTACACAAATAATCCACACATAGGAGAGAAGAGCTTACGACAAAGTTTCGGTCTAACCTGGACCATTTACTTTGTAAAGTCTGAACGAAACATAGTCATCAGCTCCTCTCTCCTACGTGCGAGTTATTTTTGTATTGTTCCAGTCACGGTATTGTGTCTTTTTTGTTCTTTAAATTTCCTTTCACAAACAGAGCAATTTCCCAATGGAAATATGTCACTTTGACTTTTTGGGTAATTTACATACATATGATAAACTATGTATGATAATTGCACTTATGTGTACCTGTACCTAAATAAACAGACTTAAATCTGCAGTGGGTGCCTGTGGCTTGGTCATACTAAGGATGATGTGTGGCTCTTGTGGGTTTAGTGCTTAGTTTTGATTGTAATAATAATAATAATAATAATAATTACACTGAGGATCTGGTACCAGTCCCTGGCACTGGTAAAACATTGGGTATGTTTCCTTACACTAGCTGCCCCCATTCACCTAGCAGTCAGTAGGTACCTGGATGTTAGCTGACAGTTCTGGGTGGCATCCTGGGGAGCAAGATTAACCTAGTTCCCAAAATTACTCCACATAACTAGGGACTTTCTTTATAATATGCAAATAATGTTAAATAGGTCCATATCAGTTGTATCATGTAATCTGTAAAAATAAAAATTATTATATGGAATAATTTATATGACTTACTTGGCTTATGCTAAGTAAATCACATATATATGTTTGTATATTATTATATAAAGTCATTACCATTATGTAGGAGAATTATATTTTTTTTTTTATTATTATCACACCGGCCGATTCCCACCAAGGCAGGGTGGCCCGAAAAAGAAAAACTTTCACCATCATTCACTCCATCACTGTCTTGCCAGAAGGGTGCTTTACACTACAGTTTTTAAACTGTAAACATTAACACCCCTCCTTCAGAGTGCAGGCACTGTACTTCCCATCTCCAGGACTCAAGTCCGGCCTGCCGGTTTCCCTGAACCCCTTCATAAATGTTACTTTGCTCACACTCCAATAGCACGTCAAGTATTAAAAACCATTTGTCTCCATTCACTCCTATCAAACACGCTCACGCATACCTGCTGGAAGTCCAAGCCCCTCGCACACAAAAACCTCCTTTACCCCCTCCCTCCAACCTTTCCTAGGCCGACCCCTACCCCGCCTTCCTTCCACTACAGACTGATACACTCTTGAAGTCACTCTGTTTCGCTCCATTCTCTCTACATGTCCGAACCACCTCAACAACCCTTCCTCAGCCTCTGGACAACAGTTTTGGTAATCCCGCACCTCCTCCTAACTTCCAAACTACGAATTCTCTGCATTATATTCACACCACACATTGCCCTCAGACATGACATCTCCACTGCCTCCAGCCTTCTCCTCGCTGCAACATTCATCACCCATGCTTCACACCCCACCTTCATTCCCCTCTTTGCCTCCAAGGACAAAGTTTTTTGTCTCCACAGACTCCTAAGTGCACCACTCACTCTTTTCCCCTCATCAATTCTATGATTCACCTCATCTTTCATAGACCCATCTGCTGACACGTCCACTCCCAAATATCTGAATACATTCACCTCCTCCATACTCTCTCCCTCCAATCTGATATTCAATCTTTCATTACCTAATCTTTTTGTTATCCTCATAACCTTACTCTTTCCTGTATTCACCTTTAATTTTCTTCTTTTGCACACCCTACCAAATTCATCCACCAATCTCTGCAACTTCTCTTCAGAATCTCCCAAGAGCACAGTGTCATCAGCAAAGAGCAGCTGTGACAACTCCCACTTTGTGTGTGATTCTTTATCTTTTAACTCCACGCCTCTTGCCAAGACCCTCGCATTTACTTCTCTTACAACCCCATCTATAAATATATTAAACAACCACGGTGACATCACACATCCTTGTCTAAGGCCTACTTTTACTGGGAAATAATTTCCCTCTTTCCTACATACTCTAACTTGAGCCTCACCATCCTCGTAAAAACTCTTCACTGCTTTCAGTAACCTACCCCTACACCATACACCTGCAACATCTGCCACATTGCCCCCCTATCCACCCTGTCATACGCCTTTTCCAAATCCATAAATGCCACAAAGACCTCTTTAGCCTTATCTAAATACTGTTCACTTATATGTTTCACTGTAAACACCTGGTCCACACACCCCTTACCTTTCCTAAAGCCTCCTTGTTCATCTGCTATCCTATTCTCCGTCTTACTCTTAATTCTTTCAATAATAACTCTACCATACACTTTACCAGGTATACTCAGCAGACTTATCCCACTATAATTTTTGCACTCTCTTTTATCCCCTTTGCCTTTATACAAAGGAACTATGCATGCTCTCTGCCAATCCCTAGGTACCCTACCCTCTTCCATACATTTATTAATCACCTAAAATAGTAATTAGAGTACAGTAGATGTAAATAAACTATTAGTAGACATATTGTTCAGACTGAACCAGATCTTAATTATTCAACTATGTAAATAATGTTAATAACTATAACAGATGGAAGGAAGGTGAGGGGAGAGGCAGCTTTACTTCCCCGGATCAAGAGCAACTTCATAAAGGTAAAATGGGTTCCTGGGTGTTAGTGGACTGGTGTGGGTCACATCCTGGATGTTAGTGGACTGGTGTGGGTCACATCCTGGGTGTTAGTGGACTGGTGTGGGTCGCATCCTGGGTGTTAGTGGACTGGTGTGGGTCACATCCTGGGTGTTAGTGGACTGGTGTGGGTCACATCCCTGGGTGTTAGTGGACTGGTGTGGGTCACATCCTGGGTGTTAGTGGACTGGTGTGGGTCACATCCTGGGTGTTAGTGGACTGGTGTGGGTCACATCCTGGGTGTTAGTGGACTGGTGTGGGTCACATCCTGGGTGTTAGTGGACTGGTGTGGGTCGCATCCTGGGACAAAATTGACCTAATTTTCGGGAAATGCTCAGCATAACAAGTGACTTTCTATATAGTAGTATGTCACTGATGTCAACTATAGTCTATAAATAATAATATTATTATTATTATTATTATGATGATGATGATGATGATGATGATGATGATGATGATGATGATGATGATGATGATGATGATGATGATGATTGAGACAAGATATTAATAAAGCTCACCTTACCATCCACACCAGAACCATTTCTGAAGATAATTACTCTCTTCATGGTTCACTGTGTCAGTCACTCTGATAACATTATCACCACTCCCTGGCTGTGCTGGCTGACAGGCTGGCTGACAGGCTGGCTGTGCTGGCTGACAGGCTGGCTGTGCTGGCTGTGCTGCCTGGCTGTGCTGGCTGTGCTGGCTGGCTGTGCTGGCTGGCTGTGCTGGCTGTGCTGGCTGGCTGTGTTGGCTGGTTGTGCTGGCTGGCTGTGCTGGCTGACAGGCTGGCTGTGCCGGCTGTTAGCTGGCTGTGCTGGCTGGCTGACAGGCTGCCTGACTGGCTGACAGGCTGGCAGGCTGGCTGGCTGGCTGCCTGACTGACTAGCTGGCTGACAGGCTGACTGACTGGCTGACAGGCTGGCTGACAGGCTGACTGACTGGCTGACAGGCTGGCTGACAGGCTGGCTCACACTTCTTCCTGAGACACAACTGGAGTTAAGGTCATGACGTCACTAGTAATAAGATAAAAGATAACAATATCATTTCCTTGCAAAGTATACAATGTGTAATTACAATTTTGATTTGTCAAATACAAAAAAAAAACACTATAAAGCCGGGGCATTTCCGGCAGACTAATGTACTAAAAAAAAAACTACTTAAATCAAGACAAAATAAAAGTGGGTGTTAGTGGACTGGTGTGGGTCACATCCTGGGTGTTAGTGGACTGGTGTGGGTCACATCCTGGGTGTTAGTGGACTGGTGTGGGTCATCCTGGGTGTTAGTGGACTGGTGTGGGTCACATCCAGTCCAATTACTGGGAGCGCTTGAGGTTCCTAAACCTGTATTCCCTGGAACGCAGGAGGGAGAGATACATGATTATATACACCTGGAAAATCCTAGAGAGACTAGTACCGAACTTCCACACGAAAATCACTCACTACGAAAGCAAAAGACTTGGCAGACGATGCAACATCCCCCCAATGAAAAGCAGGGGTGTCACTAGCACGTTAAGAGACCATACAATAAGTGTCAGGGGCCCGAGACTGTTCAACTGCCTCCCAGCACACATAAGGGGGATTACCAACAGACCCCTGGCAGTCTTCAAGCTGGCACTGGACAATCACCTAAAGTCAGTTCCTGATCAGCCGGGCTGTGGCTCGTACGTTGGTTTGCGTGCAGCCAGCAGCAACAGCCTGGTTGATCAGGGGCTGATCCACCAGGAGGCCTGGTCACAGACCGGGCCGCGGGGGCGTTGACCCCCGAAACTCTCTCCAGGTAAACTCCAGGTAAACTGGTGTGGGTCACATCCTGGGTGTTAGTGGACTGGTGTGGGTCACATCATTATTGAGGTTCAGACATGTATGCGTGGAGCCCCAGACCGACATAATGAGACTAGTCACGAGGGAACATTCACCAAATTCAACTTCAATAACAAAAACATAAAGTGGGACCAAGTAAACCAAGTCCTAACCAATATAAGCTGGGAAGATATACTAAGCAACACAGACCCCAACTTATGCCTAGAACAGATTAACTTGGTGGCACTCGATGTATGCACAAGGCTTATTCCTCTAAGAAAAAGGAGGAGTAAATGTAAAATAGAAAGAGACAGGCGCTCCCTTTACAGGCGACGGAAAAGAATAACAGAGCGGCTAAAAGAGGTCAATATATCTGAAATGCGTAGGGAGACACTGGTCAGAGAAATAGCAAGCATCGAACTTAAGCTAAAAGAATCCTTTAGGAGTCAGGAATCGCGAGAAGAACTAAAAGCCATAAATGAAATCGAAAGAAACCCAAAGTATCTCTTCTGTGCCAAATCAAAGTCGAGAACAACGTCCAGTATTGGGCCCCTACTTAAACAAGATGGGTCCTACACAGATGACAGCAAGGAAATGAGTGAGCTACTCAAGTCCCAATATGACTCAGTTTTTAGCAAGCCGCTAACCAGACTGAGAGTCGAAGATCAAAATGAATTTTTTATGAGAGAGCCACAGAATTTGGTTAACACAAGCCTATCCGATGTTATCCTGACGCCAAATGACTTCGAACAGGCGATAAATGACATGCCCATGCACTCTGCCTCAGGGCCAGACTCATGGAACTCTCTGTTCATCAAGAACTGCAAGAAGCCCCTATCACGAGCCTTTTCCATCCTATGGAGAGGGAGCATGGACACGGGGGTCGTCCCACAGTTGCTAAAAACAACAGACATAGCCCCACTCCACAAAGGGGGCAGTAAAGCAACAGCAAAGAACTACAGACCGATAGCACTAACATCCCATATCATAAAAATCTTTGAAAGGGTCCTAAGAAGCAAGATCACCACCCATCTAGAAACCCATCAATTACACAACCCAGGGCAACATGGGTTTAGAACAGGTCGCTCCTGTCTGTCTCAACTATTGGATCACTACGACAAGGTCCTAAATGCACTAGAAGACAAAAAGAATGCATATGTAATATATACAGACTTTGTAAAAGCCTTCGACAAGTGTGACCATGGCGTAATAGCGCACAAAATGCGCGCTAAAGGAATAACAGGAAAAGTCGGTCGATGGATCTATAATTTCCTCACTAACAGAACACAGAGAGTAGTCGTCAACAGAGTAAAGTCCGAGGCAGCTACGGTGAAAAGCTCTGTTCCACAAGGCACAGTACTAGCTCCCATCTTGTTCCTCATCCTCATATCCGACATAGACAAGGATGTCAGAGATGACAGAGAGGCACAGTTCGTCAGATCCAATTGCATGATGGGTCTCTTCTAGAATATGTAAGCAGATACAGGTATCTAGGCTTTGAGGTTCCACTACTTGGACCTGTTGTAACAAGACTTTGTCGCCAATACAAAGAACGACTAAGAACACTTAGAGTTGTGGCAGGGCTTCACCCCAGGTATGGTGCTAATGTTAAAATTGTGAAAATGATGTATCGTGCTTATATTAGATCATTGGTTGATTATGCTGCGCCACTACTTGCTCTTGTGTCTGACTGGAAGCTTGGAGGGCTGGAAAAACTGCAGAACGAAGCAATGAGGATCATCCTAGGATGCCCTCGTACTGCCAAAATTTTTAAATATGCAAAAGAACTTGAT